CCTGCTGACAGAAGAATACCATTTGCCAATCACAAGCAACAACATATATTGGTACAAATTTGCAAAGAAAAAGCAGCAGTTGCCTCACTTATGAAGTAATAATGCGTTTTGGTAAACAGCTACTCTGACCCTCACCCATCCTTTGACTATGTGCAATCAGAAAGCCGCTGTGGCGAAGCAGCTAGAAGGTGACTGGAGCATTCCTGTCACTTCCTATTAAAGACTGACTGAGAGCACAGGTTCTGCCTGTACGTATGTTGCTGACCAAAAATTTCCAACGTGGATGTATTTTCTGAGTAGGCATAAACTGTACAACAGAACAAATAGGTCCTTCTCAAAGTTAACAGGTAGACAAACATTGTTTGAGCCATTAAATATGTGCTGAATTCTCATCTAAAAGTGCAATGTTATCTATGTCATAATTTTCCTATGTTTGATCTCATTAGCATTGTTTAGCAGGTAGGGTATTTTTCTTGTGTGTATTGAAATTATATTCTTATAGCTGTTTGTTCCTGTGGTGTTCAGAAGTGAATTTGAAAGAAGAAAATTATTTTTATTTTGAAAACAGTACTATATTCTTTGAGGGGGAGTTAGTATGTGAAACTTGCATGTGAAACAGTATTTGAAAATTCTCTTAATCTTCTTGTAGGCTATAGAAAAACATCTCATCAGAAAGTCCAATGGAGGACTGACCTTCATTGGGGAGTGGAAGAACGGGCACCTGGAAAGAAAGATGGGCCATTTGACCTGTTTTGCAGGTGGAATGTTTGCCCTTGGAGCAGATGGTTCCAGAGATGATAAAGCTGGACATTATTTGCAGCTTGGAGCTGAAATTGCACATACGTGTCATGAGTCATATGACAGAACAAGTAAGATACATTGCTAATCTAGTTATTTCGGTTGAAATACAGAAATTGTCATTATTATTTTTAAGATTTGTTATGGACCTATGCGTTGTCTAACATGCACTGTTTTTATACCGGTATAATTTTTTTAACATCCATGTATTTACTTCTGATCTACATCATGGTGAGTAAATGTAAAACCAGACTTCATCTGGTTCCTTCCTGCACGTTTATCCCTATTTTCAGATCAGTCAGCTAAGATAGGTTATATTGGTGCAATGGAGGAAGGAGTGTGTGTGACCTCTTGTCCTCCCAGATGTGTGGAAAATGAAATTTCATATATACTGTTCTTAGAGCTATGTGGAGTGAAAAAAATGTAAATATACCTTCTACTGTTTTTAGTAATAGTGCATTCTGGGTAAGTACAATTAAACTAGAGAGAATGAAGAGCAGCGTGCAAACTGTGAGATGGCCAAAGACCTGACTAGTGAGGGGGCAATATCAGACTGCACTGTTGGGCTGGAAGTTTCTGAAGTTCAGTCTTTCAGACCAGGTTTATTTTGCATCTTTAATAGTGCCCTTAATGCATAAGGTTGAAGTGTGCTGATTACACTTACAGTGATCATGAAGTCCTAAGGCACGTTTAAACCACAAGAGTCTCAGAATAGTAAACGGGGAGATCTGGAGGACTGGACTGTCAGAAATAAGAAGTTCACTGGAAAAAGAAGCAGGAGCTCTTTCTCTAAACTGGGAATTGAAAAATGCCAGTGCAGTCCTAGTCTGTATCAGGTGAAGAATTTTCAGCAGAGATAAGAGGATATTAACGCTGCCTTAAAAGACATGTATTATTTGTCATCCAGAATATGCTGTACAAGTCTGAATTTTAAGCAGAACTAATGCAGAGAAGGACCGACAGAATGATTAGGGGGACAGAGCTTTTATCTTCCGTTGGGAAAGTAAGAGGCGTCAGGCTGCTCAGACTAGAAAAATAATGTCAAAGAGGGAAATAAATTTGTTGTTATCTCAAGGGGTAATCACTGAAAAGAAATAGAGTTACTTTAAGATAAACAACACAGTTGTACCAAGAGCAAGATTTGTAAGCTCGCCATGAATAAATGTGGGTTGGAAATAAAAAATTTCTTTGTGTAGCCATCAGAGAAGTAAGCTTCTGAAATAACTTCTTAGTTGAAGTAATAATAATTAAAACTGAAGCCTTTTTAAGATGAGAATTCATGTATTTATTCACAAGATTACATAGTATCATTACATAATTGCCTGTCATTTTAAAGAATTCAATCATGTAAGTGATACTTCTACCAGGGTAGCAACAGTATTAAAAAAAGGAGAAGGAAAATAAAAATGATGATGCTTAAGGAAAAAGGTAGGACATAGTAGCTATTGTTGCGTTCTGAAAAATAGCATTTAAATGTTTAATTTGACACCTAAAAATAAGTAGTGCTAAATTTACAGTTGTTTGTGTAGTAATAATTTTATTCCTTCAGATGTTTGTTCTGTACCCTAAATAAGTCAAAAGATGGAGGGGGAGGGCAGAAATAAAAGTTTTGGTTACATATTTAATGACTGTATAAGAACACACATGCAAGAAACTGAAAGTTGTACAGACAGCTATAAATTAGCAATGCCCTAGTTTTCCTTTGTTCGGTAATGCAATTTCAGGAATGTAGATTTCTTTGTTTGACTTTCTTGGGGTTTTTTTTTGCCTGGACTTATTTTTCAAAGAAAATCGTTATATGCAAAATGTCAACTTCTTAGTTATGCTTTAACAGCAGGATTTGAGACATAATTGTACACTTTAATGACAGAGCTCTCTGGTTGTGGAAAAAATCCCTCTTATTCAGAGGGCAGACAGTCAACCTGGTTGAGCTGATAGGTTTATGTTTCAGTCAGCAAAGGGGAGAGCCTGATCTTTTTCCCATAGTTTTGGGAGGACTCTTGCCCCATTTGCTGTTCCGAGAGGATACAGCAAGGTGCTGAGGACAGAGAGCTCTTGTCTTCAGATGAACCAACCAAAGTTGTCCTTTCCTGTGTCTTCCCAGGACTGCTCATAATAAACTGCAGTATATGCCTGCTTTTATAATGTTTTAGTATAAAAATGCTACTTTAAGAAGCAACCTAAATTTCCATAAGGGCTGAGCATGAGGAAAAAGAAAAGTGTTTGAAGATCCAGTCTCAGCAAAAATGAAACAGAATTTCACAGAACAAATGTGCTTCTGGGAAAGAAGGGCATTATATTGCCAACTGTCAGCAACCTGTTGCACATATTGCGAGTACGAACGAAAGCCTGTTTAAGAAGTGGAAAAAAAAAAGAGAGAATTTGATACTACAGAAGGCATCAGGCAAACTGAATTTTATGTGCTGCTATCCATCTTTACAGTAATGTTATTATATAAATCATGGAATGCCATCTCCAGAAATTCTGGTTTGAAATCATGCTTTCCATGGCTTGCATAAATAAATAAACAAGAGCTCCATGGTGACACAGCAAATGATTTATTGGCCAGGATTTCTGGGTAGTGTTACTTCAGATAAATTCTACTGGAGTAATTTTGATCTGGGCAGATTTTACCAGTATGATAATAAGTACAAATAAATAATATATATAATGATAATAAGTAAAAATAAAAATGCTCTTGTCTTGCAGTGACAGTCTGCATGCCTATTTAACACTGAAGTGATTTTCTGCCATGACATTTGTGGCCAGAGGTTTTTGATGTATTAGGAATTTTTATTTTTAGGCAATAATAGCATCCTGTCAGGTTACTTTCCCCTCTCATACCATTACTCTTTGTCTTCAGACAAACTCAATTACCCTTTATAAAGCAGAGTATTTGTGGTGACTTCAGCCTTCTTTAACAAAACAGGACTACTTATTTTGTGAAGCTAATATAGCCCTTTCTAGTCTGTCTGTCTTAATTTTCTTGCCTTTGGAACTGAAGTTATCCCAATTGATGTGAGAAGTCAGCTGTTGAATCATGATTGCCCATCATTTCTAAGACTCTCTCTCTGGTCCCTTGGATGTATTTGCTTCTGTTGATGGCTTCTAAGACCCTTGAGGGTCTATGAACCCTTCTCTGCTTTCTGGTCTTATCCCTTGATGTCAAGCATTCTGTCGCTATCCAGTTCATGCTCTGAGCAGTAGACCTTCATGGTGTTTAGGAGCTGTTGCTCTAGCAGGTAGTTACACCCTCCTCTCCCAGCTGTGACAGGTGGAGGAGCGGACTTTATTGCAGGAATCCCACACAAGCCTAGCTGGGTTACAGTGCTCCCAGACATATTCTAATCCATACCCCAACTGAAATACTACTTTTAGATTCTCCAGACTCATGGTGAAAAGATGTGTGTTTTGCCACAAATTATTTGGAGAGGATTGAGGACTACCCTGTAGATACAAAAGCATCCTGCTTTTTCACCTCTTTACTGGTGAAAAAATATCTTCCCCTGCCATTTCTTTCCATTTTGGATGTAACGTGGTCACAGATTTGCACAGCAATGTTGCAGACTGACTTATTTGTCTTAGCCTTGGCATCATTGGAACGAGAGCTTTCCACTGACATTTTGAGGCTTTTTTTACTCCCCTGGAATGTGTATCAGTGATCCTTTGCAGGATTTTTGGATACTCAAATTGCATCACTGGGGCTTGTGGAAAATTTTAGGACATTTCTTAGCTTGAATGAAAGTGTGGCACAAGTTAAAGTACACCATCACCTTTTGGATAGATTGTTGCTGGCGTGACACCATGCCATGTCTCCCAGCGTACAAATAAGACCAACCTCAGATCTGTGGAGCTACCTTAAGGAGGCCACAGTGTATTGCACCTACATGGCTTGCTGGGTCATGCAAAGATACTCAGTGATCGCAGTCCACACAACTCTGTTTCTTCCTCATTGCCTAACACCATTATCATTGGTAGTTGCAGCTGCTTTAGCCAAGATTAATCAATACTAAGATCAGTAGTTTTTTCATAGAGACAGATGTAGAAGAAGGATAAGACCCCATTTTGGACTTATGAGGACCACATGTGTTCATACGTAAGCTCAGTTCAGGATGGTGATGGAGGAGATTCATCCCAGCTTTAGAGAGAGGAGAAGGACTTTTGAGTCTTGAATTCAAGGACACCTTATTCTACATGTCAGTCAAAACAGATACGAGGAGGTATGTCTTGAGGTAGAAACAGACCTCTTCTGGTTCAAAAGTCACTTGCTTGACTTCTGCAGAGATCTGAGGTTTTTCATAAGGTACCTGACCATCATAGTAACCCAACTTGGCTGAGAGTATCTGCTTTTATTACCAAATTGACTAATTAAAATCAGGTTAATAACTCCCTTCAGGTTAGCTTGGGGCTTTTTTAGCTTTGGACAGGTAAGCTGAGCCAACACCCTGCCATTTTTTGGGAGCAAAAGTCTTCCAGACTTCCCTGAGAAACTTTTTATATACTACACATTCTCCTTTCTCATGTCAGGCCTAAGTCTCATTGTCCAAATGTAAGGCTGTCTGCCTACACGTGACAGCCTTCTTTTACATGGCTTGTTACAAGTTTTGCCTTAACCCATCTAGGCATTGCTTTCTATTCCCTTTCCCACCAGATTGCATTCGGTCAGCAATTAAGTTACCCACTTAATCTCTTGTGATGCTATCTGCTCCACAGTGCTGATTAATATGGAGAAGTTAGAAAATCTTTGCAACCATTCCCGGTGTATTTCCATGGGCATTTTGTCCTAATGACAATTGGCATCACTGTCATGTAATCAATGAAAGGTTTATGTAGGGACACAGTCTCTTTAATAATCTGATAAAACAGTCAATGTTCTCCAGTGGTATCAGAGAAAAGACCTCAGACTGCTGAGTCATAGGCTGGAGAAGTGGCTGGGGATATCCTGAGCAGCTCAGGCCCTTGCCAGGGCTCTGCAAAAATCTCTGTAGATTCCACTTAAGCTGAGGAGCAGCACTTTCTGTGGGATGCCCTTCTGATTCACCACAGGGAGGAAGATGTTGGTCTTTGGAAGGTGAAGACACATGATTCTGATCTGCCTCTGAGGAAGGGACATCCATTTTCGGGATCCATTGAACTTGTCGGCATGAAACCCACAAGGCTTTTCCTCGCTTCAGCAAATTGTGAATACGTGTGGCACCCCTTGGAATCACCAAGGATTTGAAAGGGCTTATTGGCTTTTAAAGTTGGAAAACTAAATTGTAACCAGAACAGACTTGTGATGCTTAATCTATGCATGCTTCTACTGTCAGTGGGTACTGGTAAGGCTAAAAGAATACAGCTTCATGTGCTTATGGTGCAAGGTTTCTCAATGTTTAGGCTTGCGCGTGGACTGTGCATCCTGAGGTATTCCTGTTACTGGGGATTAGTTCTTTGTTTCACGTGCACCACTGAGAAACCTGGCAAAGGCATAAAATAACTGGTAATGCAAAATCCATAAATGGTAATGAAAAAAGATGTCAAATGGAATTGAAAGAATAGAAAGACTACTAACAAATCAATCTGAATAATTAGCTTTCATAGATATTGTCAAAGATAGATTAATAAGCAGAAATTATCTATATAGATGGCAGCATGTGCTGATTTACAGCGCACAGTATTTTTAGCGAAATATATCATTCCTTATAAGAATTTTTTCAGCCATTAGCTGATAGTATTTAAAATATTGACTGACTACAGACAGATTATTTTAGGATGAAGTTTTTTGCCCATCTTTAAAGTGTCTGAGAAGAACTGTCCTCAGAAGCTGGGTACTGCATTAACTGTTTTTATATGTATGACAATTCTAATGCAGAATAAGCCAGATGACTTAAGATTTTGGCTGAGACATTGTCAGATTATGAGTAGATGCTGTCTCTGTCCCAAGACTCTGTAAGTAGCTTAACAGGCAAAGTTGATAAGAAGAATTACTTGTTTTCATGGAAGTGTAAAATAACAGTGTATGTTGATGGAATGGTTCAGAGAATATCAAACAAAAGTATCTTGAAGGGTCTCTTCTTCAAGTTTTTTATATAAGTTAGAACCTACAAAGTATTCTTGTAATTACATATCCTTTCTTACCTTCAGGAAATTTTCTGCTAGTCTTAAAGGAACACACAAAAAATAAGCAATGTTTTAAAAATTATTTTTAAAATTATTTTTTAAATTGGATATGTAAATATTTCTATTTATTATTATTAATTTATTTCTTTAGTCAGCTATTAGTAGAAGTGCTGTGATTAATTTTACATTGCTGGTTTCAGATAAAAATTCAGTGAGATTGTCACAATCTGCAGGTATCATCCATCCTCTGGGTGGAATGAATGTCATTAGAAGTAGATATGAGTAAATAATTACAGATTTAATGCTTCAACAGACTACAAAGTCTGTCACAGTTTCTGTAAGTGATGCATCACCAGAACTGCCTGAAATCCAGCATCTTTGGTAGTTAAGAGTAATACAGCTGACAGTTCTCTTACTAAGGCCCTTTAAGGATATTAAGCAGCTACAGCATAAGCTGCAAGTATATGCATGGAGACGGAAAGTGATTGTAGTATAATAAATAGGGTAGAGGTAGATAGTCAGCTTTTGCAGTGGATGAAGAGTGGTTAACCACTGGTACTCTGATATATTTGATATATACTTATACACATCTGTGCATAGATAAATGTATAGTTTATGTTTTATATTTTAATGTGTAATAAATGTATATGTAAATAAAAATATACATATATACATATATACACATATATAAATGTTTAGGAAAAGGGGAGGAACACTAAGGTAAGTGTACTGATAGTAACTAAAGAAAAGCTATTCAGGATAGCAAGGATGCAAGAAAACTGAAAAATTGCATAAGGACCTTAGAAGGTTGAGTAATTGTGTACTAAGTTACCAAATTAAATCTGGTGTAGTTAAATGTAAGGTGAAACATCTATGAAAAAATTATTCCTAACCTCACATGTAAAATGATGAGCTCTTAAATGACCATTACAACTCAGGAAATTGCTCTTGAGATTATGAAAATGTCAGCTCTGTAGCAGTCAGGAAAAACAAAGTGAGAGAGAGCAAAATAGAAGATGTCCTTATGTCACTGTATTAATCTTGTCCACACTTTCAGTTCTATGTTCAGGCTGGTCCTCTCATTTCATGATGGATATAGTAGAATTGAAAGAGTTGCAGAGACAGGGTAGAAGGAAAACTAAGGGTATACAACACTTTCTATCCAAGGAGAAACTGAACTGGATAGTGTTCTTCAGTGTGGAAAAGGAATATTTTAGGTAGGATACAGTGGGTTCATAAAATCACCACGGGACTGAAAAGAGTGGATACGGATCAGTTGTTTGCTCTCTCCTCCAAGACAAGACCTAGAGGCTGTTGAATGTGTCTAGTAGGAAACAGGCTGAAAATGGAAAAGAACAACAAAAGTGATTCCATGCCAAAGAGATACTGGAGATGGGGAACTCCGTAGCAAAGGTTGTTTTGGATGCTTAAGGCTTACACACGTTTAAGGAAACACCAGGTAAGTCCTTGGAGAATAAATCTAGTAAGAATTACTGACAACATAAAAAAGTATATCTAGTTTGGGAGAAACCTGGAGCTTAAAAAAATTGGAGGCTGGTTGAGAAGCTGGAAAAAGGTATCTCATATATTTGGCCTTTTCTTCTTCTCCATCCTTGTCCGATTTTTGGCCATTGTTGGAGACATGAACAGAACTTCCATCTGGTCCAGTATGGTAATTCTTGTCGTCTTAATTTTGATGTGCAGAACTCTGTATCTAATCTCATTGACTTTGCAATAAAATTTGTTGGAGTTTTTTGGGTTTTGTTTTGTTTTTTTTTTACTGAAAGAAGTAAAATGGCCCATTTTGAAAGAAGTATCATAAACGTGTCTTGATGGAGTTTTCCTTACCATATGTGTGACTGAAGCAGAGAGCAGTGCTTTTTTCTGCTGGCAGCCAGAGCCATACTCCCTTGAAGCAAAAAGATTAAGGAATGTTTTTAGGAGATTTTCTGCTGGAGCACACACTGGGAGGTGCTCATTTTTTTTAATGTAGTAGGCTAAAGTTCCCCTTTCAGACTCATGAGACCATGGTTAATTTGAGCCTCTAGCCCATAGGAATTACATGATTAATTGCTTTGATAATTTTTAAAGCTCAAGTGTAGCTTCAGAGTTCATCACCTTAAAAATTCTCTGCCAAAACAAAGGGTGATGTGCAGCTGTAGATGAGTGCATTATTATTTATGTCAAATTTGAGGAATAATGTATAGCTGTATAATTAAAAAATACATGTAATTGCATCTTCATATTATAGACAGTTTTTCTGCAGTTACCTCCCTCTTACATGAATAGTGATGCTGGCACAGGGCCATTACAGCTTCCTTTAAGGGCTGAAGTAGTGAGTCTCTTAGTTCAGAGATTTATTTTCAGGTGTGGCTAAGTTTTCATTGCCTAGTTGTAAACCCTTTACTTGAGGATCACATTATGAAGCACATTAGTTTTGGTGCTCTGACCACATTTCCCTAAACCAACAGAGTTTGGATAAAGATGCAGGTTATTTGAGATGGTTTTGTTCTAAGATTTTCCAGCTGTGCTGGGTGGGATCAAAGGGCATGAAAATCTCTGTCGACCCATTTTTTTTTATTCTTTTGCTTGTAAAGAACTGATGTTGGTCACTTTAATTTTACCCTATAATTGAATGTGTTAATGTGTTTACATTCTTAGCGTTTAATTACTTCTGTCAGGATAGGTAGTTTTCTTACAGGAATTGGATAAATTATTCATAAGAAAAATTATAGGCCTCAACAACAGGAAATATTTATGAGACTGCTTAAAGACAAGCTAGTTTCTGCTTTTTTCACATGCTTGGGATATGGCAGTCCCCTAGCCACCCTTCTTGCAAAGATTGATGAAGAACAAATTTTTTTTTCTCCTTCTGCAGCTTTAAAGCTGGGTCCAGAAGCATTCAAATTTGATGGCGGTGTAGAGGCGGTGGCAGTGCGGCAGAATGAGAAGTATTACATCCTAAGACCGGAGGTGATTGAGACCTACTGGTATATGTGGAGATTCACCCACGATCCCAAGTACAGGCAGTGGGGCTGGGAGGCAACGCAGGTAACTGTATTAATTATCTGTCAGTAAATTAATTCTATGTCTTTTCATTTTGTAGCCGCTTGCATCTCGTGGTACTGAAACGCTTCAAATGGTAATTGATTTTCATGAGTTCCTTTAAACCAGGGTACATATGGGAGTGAACACAGTTATTCCTGTTTTGCAACTGCTGAGACAGATGCACGGATGAGAGACGTGTTCGGCATTATAGAGCTGATGAGTTTTAGGCATGGAAATAGAATCCACTGGTCATGACTCCTGCTGTTATCAGTAGTCCACAGCCCCAGGAGAGGTGATGTATCCTGGGAAATAAAAACGTATTATAAATAACTTTGTTATCTAGCATGTGCTAGAACTCAGTTTAGACTAAAAGACAAAGCTATTCTTACGCTTTCATCTTGGTCAGCTATAAAAACACGAGTGATAGGACAACTGTTTTCAGACTCTTTGTAGACTAGAGAGTACGTACATACATATATATGTGGGTTGGTATCGTGGCTCTTTCTTTTCTTAGTTGTCTGATTGGAAGGAAAAAAGTTGCCAGTCAGCTTAGATTTACTCAATTATAATGAAAAATTACATCAGTAGAAGCAGACCATAAAGGGAAGTGCGGAAGTAAAGGCATGTAAGGAAGAACTTAAAAATTGTTGCTAAGGTATGTTAGAGATTGCCACTTTTTTTTGTATAGCTGGTTTCCTGGGTTTAAATCTAGTTGTTGTTTTAATGAAATTCCCAAGTATGAACATGCTTCTGAGTCTCTCATTGGAAATGCTTGTAATGGTCTATAGAAGCCCAGATTGATTCTAAGACTCCTAACACAGATCTGTGTGCATGGCCTTCCTTCCTTCATCCTTTGATGGATAACTCCATTGGGCTATATGAATAACTAGGCTTAATTTTCACATGACGATATAATATTCTAATTGTAAAAATTATTTGTAATCCTCAAAAGACTTCTCCTTTTAAATGCTTCCTAGGGCAGAACTTGCGAGCCTCTTTTGGTCTCATGTTTCTCACTGCTTCCACCTGCTAGTCTGTACTGGGCTCATGCAAAGCTAATTTGCTGGCCAAGCAGTTTTCTGGTCCTCTTCAAGATCATAGAATCATGAAATATATTGGCTTGGAAGGGACTTTTAAAGATCATCCTGTCCAACCCCCCTGCAGTAAACAGGAACATTGTTATTACACCAGGTTGCTTAGAGCCCCATCAAGCCTGACCTTGAATGTCTCCAGGGATGGGGCCTGTGGGTTACTACAGCTCCTCCACTTCCCTGCTGCAGCTCTGGCAGTCTTTGCAAACACAACTCAAAGTCAGTTTCAGAGTTGTGAATAGATATTAAAGATAACAAGACACTAATGAAATATTTTGAGTACAGCCAAAAGAGATGGGGAAAGAGCAAATGAAGATACAAACCAAGAGCCTGGAGAAACGTTATTCTGCAGGTGAAAACCAGTTTTGCTCCAGAGGCAAGAGACTCAGATAAAGTACTTGGAGTGAGAGGTCTATTGAGAAGTCTGTATTCAGCAGGTGGAAGACAGTTAAGGGCAGCTCAGCATATTTAGCTAAGCTCAGCCCTATCCTTAGCACAGTTACAATCTCATAGAAGGGTCCTAGTGTTTTAAGATTATATCTTACTCTAGGTTGGGTTTTGCCTTGTAGACTGTTCTGTTATAACCAACATAATGTTACTCTGGAGAGAGGTTTCACATTTGTCACATTTGTATTCCAGAATGCATTGCTGCTCTCACCGAAACATCAAACATTGAGTCACATCATCCCTCTTGCCCAAACTATGTATGTTTCTAATATGACCAAAAAAAAAAGGATTTAGTAGCCTACTCCTTGCCAGTGCATGTACTACAGATGCTTGGTGATGTAACACCAGCTCTTGTCAGAAGCTGTGGCTGGATGATTCAAGCTGAGATTGTACTAGGTTAGAGAATTTACAAATGTAATTTTTTCAGGCCAGGATCTATCTCTTAAGCATATTGCAAAACAGGTCTTTTAGATTGCATTTTGTTCCATTTTCTCCATATCTTGTCCCCATTAATGCTTTCAAACAAAACCCTCCCTTCCTCCTCCCCTGCCTCCAATTTTCCCTCTGTGCAGGGTAGGACTTTATTTTATCATTCTGTCAACCTGCCTCAAAGTTTTGTAAATCAAGCAGCCCACATGCTTAACTGCCTCTGTGCTTACAGAGTACCGTTTTTTTGCTTGCTTCCTCAATAAAGAGTTTTTTTTATCCAACATAGCTGTAAAATATTTTTTAACTCTCCATAAATGGTTTTGCTTACCCCTCCCTTGCACAATTACAGATTTTCTTTCCCCTACCATCATACTAACACAGAAACTCAGGAATCTTCTTGTTCCCCATGGTTTTCTGTTCTCTGCATACAGATAGTAAGTTACTGTGTTTACTCCTCACACCTACTCACTACTTTCCCTTCTTCCCTACCACATACAACTCTGGTTGTGTTTATTCCTCCATTTATAAATAGAGAAGAATCTGGTATGACACACAGAGTAGATGGCTTGCTGCTCATGTTTGACACTGTCTGTATATGCCTTCCTTTTGTCCTTCAGCCACTGAAGCATACTTAGAAATCTGTATTACAGACTTCTCATGGTGAATGCTTTTTTCTTTATCAGAAGTCTAGCAGTTCTTTAAAACTTTTGGGGAAACTGAGTTTTGTTTCTGGGTTCTAAATGGTCTTGTTTTTCTACATTGAACCTGGTGTAGCCTGGTGTTTGATGACTGAGATCTTGGTGGTCTCCCTAGTTTGCTTCTTTGAATGGATGAATACATCCCTACCTGAATAGATTGGGTTAGTTAACTGATATATTAGAGGTCTGCTTTTGTCATTTTAAGAACTCTTCAGAGATGATCCAGGATACATTGCAGAACCACCTGTATTTTAAGTATAATGCATTATTTATGTTTCTTTAGTGCTCCCAGCCCGGATCTCTCTCTGCCCTTTATCAATGGGAATTTGCACAGTGGGCTGGATTATGTGTGAATGCACATCTTTGTGCTATACTGTCTTTATCTGTTTCACCATTGGCAGCTTCTTTTTCGCTTTATTATCTAGATTTTTTGACAAAACTTGGACATTTTAGTGCATATGTTGTGCTTTGACCAAGGTCTGCTTTGTCACATCTCTCCAAATCCAGTGTCTGTGGGGGGAAAAAAAACAGGAAGTAGAATTGTATATTTGCTTGGTGATCATAAATCTCTGTGACAAGGTCTTTATCTCTTCCTAATAAAAAAATGGCTAATTCTCCCTAATACTATACTTAGTACTAGAGACAATATCATTCTGAATTGCACTGGGTCAGCCAAATTGGACGATGGTATGCTGGGGGGCTGGCTGAAGTATTACAGTAATACGCATGCAAGATATTTAGGGTCAGTACAGATAATGACTAAAACCCTTTTTAGTCTAATTGTTTGCAAGCAATAAGAGCCACCACCTCACAATAGAAATATAAAGCCAATTACTGATCTAAGCTGTTTGAATGAAGGGTTCAACTGTTTTTCAGAGACTTGCGTATCTGACTGAGCAGGATCGCACCAGGGAAGCTGTAGAGTTCGCTCAGAGTTTCTCCTTACAGTGAAAATAATATGCAAGACTTCAAATTCAGGCTAACTTCAGGCCAATTGAGGATTGACTGTAAGATGGAGTGGAGAGACTATAGCTCCCTACTTAGTGAAGCAAAGCAGATGGAAAAGAGCCAGGCGTAGGCTGGAGGTGAAAGAAATGTGGCTTCACAGTTCATGGGCTGGAAGCTGTGAGTACCACAAAGAGGTGTTTTGGGAGGTAAGCTGGTGAAGAAACTGGCACAGTTTTTATGAGCATGTTGTTGGCATAATCAAAATGAGTCACACATGCAACCAGAAAAACACCCTCAGAGGAACTGAGGGAGCTGGGGTTCAATCTAGAGGCACCTCCTATTTTAGTTCAAAGAACTTAGATCAACTTTGACCTCCCCATATGTCACAGGTCCTGAAATTTATCTTTGCGTAATTTTTGAGCTGAGATATGTGTATCTGGCAAGAGTACACTATAACATATTCTTTCTACTCTTGATTTGAATAAAGAGAACTGGAAAATCCACTTCTTTTGATAGTTTGTTCCATTATATAATTACTTGTGCTGTTAAAAATACCTACTTTATTTCCCATTTGAATTTGTCTAGTTTCAGCTGCCAATCACTGCATTTTCATATGACTTCCTGTAGCATATTAAAATGTCTTTTACTTCCTCATGTTTTCTTTCCAAAGAGCTCTCAGAGATTGCAGTAAGCTTACTACCAAGTCTACTTAAGATGCTAAACAAATTGTATTGTCTCTCACTGTAAAGCATTTTCTCCACGTCTGCACCCATGTCAGTTCATCATCCTTTCTTAAAAAATAATTCTAAAATTGCCTATTCCAGTTCTTTACTCACAGACCTTTGCAAAGGTAAAATTCTATCTTTGCTACTGTTTACTATCCCTGTGTATGCACCTGCCACAACATCCTAGCAGGAACTCATACTGGATTGTCTCATGTGGCTACTGAATTCTTTTAAGTGTCTTTACTTCCCAGGCTAATCTGGCTCTGCAGGTATACAGCCTTTATGTCCAGATTTAGGATTATGTGCCTAGTTATATGAAACTCATTTAGTTTGGGCCTCTTTTACTGCCAGATTACCCTGACTGCTGTTGTTTACCTATGCCACTTTTGCCAGCAGCAGTGTTGCAGTGATTGATAAAACCTCAGACCATTTGTTGTGGGTCTCTGTGAGAAGCAGCTCTATTCGATGATGATTTTACATTTCCAGTTCATTCTTAGACCACTGTCAGTCAGTTTTAAATTAAGATAGCAATATTGATATGGTATAGTGCTGTTTTGTCTTATCACAACACCTTATGGTACCATGTCAATTGCTTTAGCAACTTTTAAGTTTATTACCTCTGCAGTTACCTTTATTTGCCAGTTTGCAGACCTCAAAGGATTAAATCAATCTTGTGAGCAAGATAGCTTTCTATAAAATCATGCTGATTGGTGTAAATTATCCTCTTCTATATTTTTTTACATGTGTTTACATAATTGTTTGAGACTAACATCAGGTGTGCCATCCTAAAATTATTCAGCCTGCCAGTGCCTCATAATAGTAACATTTCCTTGATGCTCTTCCAGTCATCTAGGACTTCCCTGTATCCTAGGGTGCAATAAATTTAGTGTCATTTTATCAAGGAAACAGGTCTTCAGCTCTTGAGTGGAAGAGTATCCAGGTGGCAAATCAGATGCCTCTATACCAAGTACTCTCAGATCTGTATGAAGGCAGAAGACTGCAAATTTCAAGTGCCTTTTAAGCAGCTTGTCTATGGCACAAACTTTTCAGCCTGTGTCCTGAAGTTCTATACACTGCTGAATCAAGGACAATTTGTTTATCCATAGTTGGAGGAACAGCTGTATAGAAATCTTTCAGAGGCATTTTTCCTCTACAGTTCATTACTACCTGCGGTGTCTAGATCACTGATCAACTAAGATAAATCCTCTGCCTGTCTTCAGTCTAGCCAGAGTCTGTCTCCCCAAGGAGAAATTTCTGAAGATGCAAGACTACTTGGTAATTGTAAGGAGAGGAAAAAAAAAATCAATATGAGTCATATATTTTCTTTCTTCAGGTTTCTAGGCCTGCCAGCTTCACCAGTGTTGCATTTAGTTATCCGAGCATCAGACCTTTACAGCACGGAGCAGGATCTCAGTGCTAGCTGCAGTCTCCAGAATAAACAAGTTATGTCTTTTAGGCTGACTTGGGAATTTAATTATGGAGAAGGAAGGAGGCAATGTCCTAACAGTGGTACCATTTGTTCCTTCTTTTTGTTTTGCCACAATCACTAGCAAGTTTATCCTGTCTGAGCCGTGACACACAGTATCAGGGTTGCTGAAATGTCGACCAGAGGAACACCTGCAAGATCAGACTCTGCAAACAGTTAGAAATTCTGGCAGGATTGTAATCACTGGAGCTTCTCCTCAACATCTTGCCACACTCCAGAGCAGAGACAAGGTCATATTCTGCAGTATTATAAAAAAGGGAATAGTAGCAAGAGGAGGCGCTTGATTTCCTGCCTAGTGCTTTGGCTCTTGATTATTCATACAACACTTGCCTAGGCTGTAGGAGTTGTGGGGAAGAAAGTGCAAATGGTTCCATAAATACCATATGTATTATTTCTTCAGTAGTCATCCGAGCAATTAATTTTTTTCTTTTCCTTTTTTTCCCCTTTGGCTGCTATGTGATAGCTAGCATCACTTGTGATGTGCACGAGCGTGCAGACAAAGAGATTGTCATGTGTGTTATGCTGTTGGGCTAGATGTGTCACATACACCTTTCTCTCCAGACTGTAGAGAAAGCCTGGCCAACCCAAATCGCAAGATGTGAATAGTCTCAGTGTAGTCCTAGCCTGCACCAGTAGCCAGATCTGAAAAGAATTCATCCAGACACTTTCTCATTATAGGCTCAAGTCCCAACAAAAAAGGAAGTGTTTCCATCTGAACTCAGAGAAAGCTTCACCTGAGATAAGGAATTGCAGAGAGAGAGAGGTTTTGCCAAGAAAGATAGTACCTTTCTTGGCATAAGCTCAGGCTTTGGAGCTACAGCTATTCCAGTAACATCCTTTTGCCAGTTTCTCCTCTTGCTTCTTTAAAAATCTTTGTCTTCAAAAATTTGAAAGAGCTTTACACAGTCTGGGTTATTCTTTGATCTATGAACAACCTCACATTTCCACAGGATAAGGGCGTATACTAGGAGGAGGATAGCTAAAGTACCAGATGTGCTATAACTTCTAGGTACCTTGCTTATTTGCCTTTTCACTTTTTCTCCTGATTTCAGTGATGACATCTGCCCGCCTGCTTCATGCACATGTCCGATGAAAAACTCTCCTTTGTTTCCCAGTATTTCTAGTGTGCTAAAGCTATAGTAAGAACCTTGAAGTGTTAATTTTGATTGAATTCATTTTCTCTGCATAGAAGGGGTGTCATTTAAAACTTATTTGCTTCCCTGCTTTGACTCTCCTCAGCTTCTGTTGAGTATAACTAGCAAAAATCAGAATTAACAAAAATCTGGGCCTAAAGCACCATGTGGAGTGAAACTTCATACAGGTTAACGGGCTGAATCACAGATTACTGAACTACAGGTAGCTTCATTCAGTAGTTGGTAATGACAGACTTCCTGAGCCAAACATTTTCCTTCATCACTGTGCCTTTTCTGTCCCTGCATGAAACTATTAAAAGAATCAGTATCTGCTGAGAAAGCACTGCCAAAGCAGCGGGGAAGCACAAATAACCTTTGAATCATTTCAGAGTCATTTCTTTGGAGCTGGTTTTAATGGCAGATATTCTTGTGTGCTGTAAGGTCATGTATGTGAGTGGAATAATGAAAGCGTAGGCGAGAAGTGCTCTGAGCTACTAACACGTTCTTTCCGGTCTGCTCTTCTATTGTGCTTTTTGCAGTACTGTGTTGGAGCTGGGTGGTTTGGGAATCATGGATCCATTGGCCCCTTTCGGCATGGAATGTTCATGGATGTAAACTTCATGCTTTAAAGATAAAGAGCTCTTCTGCATTCCAGCACAGAGTTTCTATAACTCTTCAAACTCTTCCAGCTGCAAAATCCAGGGACGTTTGTCGTCTTCCTATGCACCTCACAACATGTGTTGCATTGACTGACTGACTGATGGATATTCTAAGCAGTGTTACCTATGCAGAGCTGCACCAGCTCAGAGGAAAACTCTGCTTACTGAGTCCATGTCCTGTCATCAATATCAGTCAACAGTGAATACCGAGGAAAGAAAGTATTCTTCTCCAGAATACTTTCTTAGCATCTAGCAGTTTGCCAAATGTGGTGTCGCTAGTAGCCCTGGATGGATTTTAATTCTATATGTGTCCAGTTCCTTTTAATGTTGTTTTTTTTGTCAGTGTAAACTTAACATCCACAGCATCCTCTGTCAAGGAGATTCACAACAGAATAATGCAGCACAGAAAGAGCAACCTCCTCTGTTGGTCAAGCCTGATACTTTAATATTTCCAGATTTTGCTCTACAATTAATTTACTTTTTCTTTGTTTAATTTCCCCTTTCTCTTTGCAGGCAATTGACAAGTATTGCCGAGTCAGTGGTGGCTTTTCTGGTGTCAAGGATGTCTATTCCTCATCCCCTACATACGATGACGTACAGCAGAGCTTTTTCCTTGCGGAAACTTTGAAGTAAGTTCTCTTACATCTTCCTATAAAAGCTAGCATCTAAATTCTAGAAGAAGACAGTGGCTCCACAAATAATCTGTTGTCTTGTCAGGTGGTTTATAATTCAGGTTTTCATTTTTCCCAGCTTAGCCCGTTTTGCCAGCTGAAAGTCCAAGTAGAATTTCCCGTACAAGCGGCTTATGCTGATAAGACTTCAGTTTGATTTCTGGCATCACAACAGAAGAGAGGTTATCTGCTTTTAAGAAACTCCCTTTGCAAAAGTCATTTTTTTAGATACAGTGACTTGACATGTTTTATATAAGTATGTGCCATGCTGTGATATTGCAGAACCTGTTTCTCCTGTGAGTGTCACTGGAAGAGAGTAAGTGCAAGGAACAGAAGTTCTTTGTGCCCTTGAATGATTTTTCTATATTTATCCCACAACATATTTTTCTAGAATACTTTTTGTTGTAAGCAAGAATATCAGGCATATTTTATAATCTCTTACATACTTAAATATTTTCAATTCAGTCAAATCAGTAGGACACCTGTAGTCCATCCTGCAGAAGCTAATGCACTCTGCATATTTAGTTCAAGGTAAAATGGTCAGAGTCATTGGTCTTCCACCATGTTTCTTTTTAATTAATAACAAGAAATACTGTACTAGAATATGCCATAACTTCTAACTTATGGAGACTAGAAACACTGATATAAAGATAGGAATATGTTATGGAGATTTTATTAAGAGATGTCATTGCTACTCATCTCCCTCATCATTGACACAAAACAGCTATAAAGAGCACTCTTGTGTCACATGATTGTGATTGCTCTGGGGTTTGGTTTTTTTTTTTAATGTCTTCTAATGTGTGACAGTTTTCTTGATACTCAAGTTACAACATCAGACTTAGCAATATAGTGCTGGCATTGAAATCTACCAAGATTCCTGTATTGGCCACTTCCCTAAAATCTTGTGAATTGTCTACTTTTGGAAAACTCTCAAAGTTGGCTATATTCTCTACCTCTTTTATTTTTCTCTTGCATAACAATTTGGAGAATGTTTTATTTGGTTAAATCAATAGGCAGAAGCCACTGCTGGCACTGTGAATAAGCCCAGAGCTGCTATTAGGAGACTTAGTTGTTGCCTCTGCTTAGATATCCATGCCACTTTCTGCCAATGTGTGATGGAAAGAATGATGCATATGTTGTTGCATAAACCTGTCAGCAACAAAGACTCATTAAGTTGCCCTTTCTTTTCTTTACAACCCGGCAATATGATGAAAAAGCAGTTGTAACCATTTGGCAGTCTAGCATGTCATGCAGGCTTTGCAGCATAAACAGAGTTTCTATACAGCAGCAGAGTTTACAGTATCAACAATATCTGATTTTCAGGTTTTAGCTGTAGTTGAGGTGTGTGAAGATTGATTTTTGGGTATTGGGAGCTCAAAATGCAGTGGAGAAAAAGCAGGTCCTAACAGTGCCAGTACAGGTGCTTCAGGCAGCACAATGTGTTTCACTAGCAAAAAGGTGCTCCGAGCTCATCACATGTATGGGAAGAGTCTGCCTCTTCTGTCATGCTGCTGGCTCCTTACCAAACTCCTCTACATAGACACAATACTTTGTTTCCCTGTCTTATCATTGTAAAAATGAAGTCAGCCACTGCTACTTCCTCTGTTGTCTTCTTTAATTTTATTTCACTTACTCAAGTTAATGTTCTGAAGCCCAAAAGCTATACTCCCAAAGAGAGAGCAGCAGTTTCAAACAGGTCTAATCAGAGAAACAATGCCTTCCCAGGAGCTGATGGTATATGATTGATCTGCCTATAAAAGCCGAATCAGAGAATGAAATCTGCCCCTAAGGGACTTCTGTGATGACAAGACTGACCTTTGAAGTATAGCCAGAATCCTGTCTGCATCTTAAATAATCACAAAGAGATCTGAAAATTCACTGCTGCGTCACGCAGTAACTGAATGTACTATAGTGCAAGCATTGCAAAAGAAGTCAGATCTAGGGAGGAATTCAAAAAATGTTTGTCTTTTGGTTTGGATCATTTCCCACTTATAGGACAAAATGAGGTTTTATTGGAGAGCTGGATATTAGATATTTGACACTGATGCGATTGACATACCCAAACCAAAAACTGGTATCACCTTGAGATAAAATAGAGAACAGGTCAGGATAGCTCACATGGCTATGAAAATGAAGACAGAAGGGTTGGGTGTGATGCCAGGAGAAGAGAAGATGTCCCTCAGAAGAGGGGCATAAAATGTGTGTTACAGAATGCCTGCACTGATCTTTTCTGCTATTGATGATAACTTCTGCATCTTAATTCCCCTCAAATTCAAAATTTATCTCTCTCCCAAATATGCATTGTCGCTGCTCAGACACTTTGGCTTATCAAAGATACTTGGCAAATTTTGAATATTTGGGCAGTATGAGTGGCAAAAAGGTAGCTGTTGACCGGGAAGGAGCAAGAGGTAGAAATAGTTTCCCTAAGTTATTCAGAGGAAAAGCGTGAATCAAATGAGGAAGGTGAATTTGAGTAAGATGAAACATTGCTGCTCTGGTGAAAAAGAGTTTGGAGAGCTGCAGAGAGAGAAAGCAAGGAAGGAGTAAGGAGGAAAGTAAAGGCGTGACACTTTAAAGACAAATGAAAAATGTAGAGAGAGAGCAGAGATATGTGGGAGAAAATGGAATAATCTCAGCAAAAAATTATCTGTAAGCAGTTAATTGGTGAGGAAGGAACGAAAAAGTAGAGCTTCACTGCCTGGGTTGTGCTGTGGATACAACTGGCAAATAGAGGCAACGGGAGTGATCAGACAGTCACGCACAACTGTAGACAGTCGACACTACCAGTGTCTCATGGAGCGCAAAGTAGCAGCAGCCTCAGCAGAGCGAAGGCAGAAAAACATGCACGCGTTCTGGATGTGGCAGAGCCCACTAACAGGAATGATGCCCCTTCCTTGTCTCATGCAGCAGAACCTGTCATTTTTTCAGATGGCAGAAAAGCAGGCTGAAGGAGAAGCTGAGAGGTCCTGTACACTCATGATGTTACATGTGCACTTGTACATGCACACTTCCTTCTGGAAGAAGGAAGATACCTTTTGAATTTTAGCAATTGAGTTTGGAAGCCATAACAAAGATCCCTACCACAAATATCCCCTACAAAGAATAGCACAGCCACATTCAAAAGTGTGTATGAAGAAAAAAAGAACCAAGAAATACTCTTCTTCCATGTATGTCCAGAAACCTTAACTTTGTTACATACCTCATTTGCTCTGCATTGCTTTATAATGTGCAACATTTATTAATCCCTTCTGCACAATATATTGGCCCATTTCCTCCCACCAGAAGCTGAACCAGCTTCCAACACAGTGATGACAAGTCAGATATCTGGCATGGCTTAGTGGCTCTTAGGCTTCCTCAAATCTTTGATTTGGATTAAAGAGGATTTGTCATTTCCAAGTGGGTTTACCCTGTAAAGAAGAATTTTTTGCCAACTTCTCTGTTCCCCCGTCCCTACAATCCTTGTGGTGTCTTGATGTTTGTTTTATATTACAACTCTTTGAAAGGAGTCTTGAGAAACAGAAGTTACTTGGAGAGATTAAAATGCTGTCTTCATAACAAGTTTTCGTTGAAGAGCTTGATCATGATAAAAATTACTTCAGATCATTATGACAGGGAAGGTTGTGTAGGTACTATATAATGATTGCAAGCAAGTTACTTGTTCATAGCTTTAGCTGCTGACTGGTGGGGCTGAAGCTGCTGGTTTGCCCCTTCCTGTCTGTTTCTCTGCTTTAATACCTGCCTTAATACTTTTTATCCTCTCTGTCTTGATATCTAGGTATTTGTATCTGCTTTTCTCCAGTGATGACCTTCTACCATTGGACAACTGGGTTTTTAACACAGAAGCTCATCCTCTGCCTGTCTTACATTTAGCCAACACCACACTGTCAGGAAATCCTGCGTACCGATAAAAAGAGCTCAATGAAGAGGAAAAGAGACTGTTTTCAGCTCTGATTTGTTTACATGGACCACTTGAGACTTTAAGCAGGAGAGGAGACAGACACTTCCTAAAACTAGACCTCTGAGTCAAGCAAATACCGGCGTGAGAACAAAGCTCTTCAACATATAGATAAGTTAAAACTGAAAGAGAAAAAAAGTTTTGTTTTATACATGACCAAAACACATTAGTGTGGTATTTGCAGGACAGAGGCTTCATGTGCTTTGAACCGTAGCAAGACAAGGAATCTACTGTTTAACATAAATGCAGCAGCATAAGGAAGAAGAGGCTTTCCCGTCCAGGGAGAGGAACTTGCTGCTGCTGCTGTTGGCTGTTGCAAGATGCAACACACCAGACACCTCTTCACATCGGGTGGGTTCCAAATACCTAGATTTTCTTTTTTCTTTTTTTTTTTGTTTGATGATGGCATGAAAAAAGCAACAACAAAAAGCAACATCACTGCACCAGCAGCACCAGGATTTGAATTTTTTTTTTCTGTACCTGTCTGATTTTTCTAAGGAACATCCGTTTGTCCAGACTGGCAGCCATTCTCAGGGCCTCTAAGCTATTCAAACTAAACTCTAAACTATAAAAACTATTGCCTCTGCATTTTCTCTTTTCAAAATAATGTTAAAAGAGCTGTGTTGTATGCTTACATTAAAAAAACCAAAACAATTGACAAGCATTTGGTTTGTAGTTCACTGTCAGCAACGTGGGCTTAGTTCATTTGACAAGCTACAGTCACAAAGTCTGGAGCATATCACAGGGGTAGGAAGAAGCCTGAATTTCCCTTTCTCACAAATCCTGTCATATGGAAAAAAACTTTCTCTTCTTAGTCCTGGTTCTTGTAGGTAAATGAACAGAGATTACAAGATGAGGAAAACAGTCTCTTATAATTTATGTAACAGGAGACAATATGTGGCACTTAATAATGCTCCCCTTGAGCTAAGCAGCAGGAGTTTGTGGCTTTATAGTTTTCTACACAATCGGGATTTTTCCTAAAATTTAGATTTCATTCTTTAGATGCTATTTGTGGACCTTTCTTTGCAGGTATGTGCATGACAGGTGCCCAAAACTGCCTTTGATTTAATTTACAAAATTCCTTTTCTTCTTGGTGCTCCAGTACAAAGCCTACATGATCTTCTTTGGAAACAACATAGCATCTCTTACAAATGAGTGGAAAGATAAACCGAAAAGTTTCTTCTTCCCTTAGTTTATGAGAAATGAGATGCTGTTACCTGCATGTTTGTTGTTTGTGGTTGTTCTTTTTTGAGTACTCCTAAGCTGGGCTGGGCAGTATCGCTTCAGTGAAGTCTGCTTCAGTCCTCACTTATTTTAATCTTTTCAAGTATATGTCAGTCTCCTTTTACCATTATTCCTGAATCCTTACAGCTCAAATTATTCTTTTTATTCCCCTTTATAGCTATCAAATCCTTCTGCCATGGTGACTGGCCCTTTTGCTGAAGAATAGCTGTGAGGTGCTCCTTTCTCACCCAATTAGTGCACAGGTTGAGTCTTTAAAAAATCTTGTGTTTTCATGCTAAAGGGAGTGGAAGAACTCTTCAGTGAGCTATAGCAGTACAGCATCAGATCTAAAGGGAGTGCTATTTCTCCCCCTCAAAAAGATTTATATTTTTCTCTCTGAGATATTATATCTGAATGTGTATTATAGTAGATTTTCCACCATAAAATTTTTCTTCACTTGTGTTTCACACTAACTCAGACACAGAAATTATCACATGATCTAAGAAAAATTGCTACTAGATGCTTTTTTCCAGACACATTTTAAGAGCAGGAAGACACAGAGCTTGGAAAAAACTCCAATCTCAATGTTTTTACCTTAATACCGGTTACTTAGTTACTGTAATTTGCAGCAGTATCTAAAAAATAATTTGAGAACTGATAAAGTAATTGGTACAGTAAATAATACTGATTCAAGTAATTGTTTATTTAAAATTAGAAGCAGTTTAATAAAGGGATTCTTTTTACTGGTCCCACATTAATTTATTTTTCTAATTAGTATTAAGTGACATATTGAATAGCTACTCACTTTCCATTTTCCCAAGTTCAGATATGTTGTGTTTTCAAAATGAGTTTTTTCCATCCAATGAGAACTGTTACTAGTTTAAAACTGCACTCAATTGCCTTGTTCTTCTAAATCTCTCTGGGTACAAAGGAGAAAGGGGAAAAGCAGGCTCTTATGGTTTTGTTTGTTTTTTAAATAAATAAATAAATAGATAGATAAAGAAAAGGGCACTTTGCACCAAATACACCCATCCCCATACACCTCCTGATAAATGCAGATATAGAATGGCTGCCAGTCTGTTCAGAGAGAGGTCAAGGACAGAATTATGGAGTCCCAGAAACAGCAAACTTCTTATCATTGTTTGCTGCTCTTCCACGTCCTTCCTGTGAATTAAAGAGCGGCCCTTCAGATTAATTCCTCCATGAATCCCAGCGGGTTAACTCACTGCCACAAGAATGCTTGAATTGAGGACCTAAGCCATTTCATCTTGTGGGATGGTATTTCTCTCAAAGCAGATGTACAGTACTGCTATTTCTTCTTTTGTGTAGACAAGCAGCAGGTACCAAATTAAAGGACACTTGTTTCTCATTTTCCAGTCAGCCCAGTGGCTGTCAGTTTCTACTCTATCACTCTTGAAAATACAAACTCCTCCAGAAGCTACTGATGTGCATAGTCTATCTGTGGACTAATTGCGGTCTCGTTCAATGAATCAGTCCTTCCTGAGATTTCTTAGAGCAGGCTGAGTTTGGAGGTAATGAGTTCTGAGTGAGGAGGGATGTGCCCTCATTCCGACTCCTTCACAGAGAAGTAGGTTCTGATCTGCAGAACTGTGTTATGTGCAACCCAAAGTTCAGACTGTTTTCCCTCTGGGTACAAAAGGTACAGTAGAATATTGCCATTTTCATGCTGTTGCTGCTGTCTTACATACTTTCATGAAGATAGAGTGTAAATTTAAGCACAAAATGACTTTTTAGTCCTAGTTGTTTCCGAGTCTTGCACCGTATTCTCTAACAAAACAATCCTCATTTTCTTCAGGTAGCTGTCCCATTTTAGCAATTTCTATAATACCATCTCCTCTTACAGGATGTAATAAAGAACAGTTGCATTTTTGGCACACTGGATTTGGGCAAGAGCCTGGAAATCCCAGAATTGTCTATTTCCTGTTTGCATGCTGTCAAAACAAGAATGTTCAGTTCTTTTCCTAACCCAAGCCTCAAGCTTGCTTGTTGGTCAGGATCTGCTAGCAGTTTTTTCTAACACTTATAGCTTGACTTTTCAAAGAAGCCAGATTTCTGCAGCTTCCATTGATCACCCTGGAGCTGTGTGTCCTGCAGTCAAGAAGTCAACTTCTTAGCTTTGTCCTCTAAACCAAACCAAAACCCTTGAATGATATTCTGGGTGTACACTTTGCTGCACAATATCCTTAAAAACTGAAGGCTTAAGAAAAGTATGGAAATCAGTAATTATGCTGTAGTAAAGGGTAGTTCCCTGTACCAGTCACACCTTTGAGGCTCCTTTAGCTCCCCACTCCAAATTTGTAGATCACCGTCTTCTACCTCCCAATCACAGACATGTTCCCACACGGTATTTTGCCAGATTTGAATGTTGAGTATCCAGGTTCTGAAAAGTGAAAATAATTGCACGCTCCCTGTAAAACCATCCTTTAGGGTTAATTGTCTACCCTGTGCTGAGCAAAGCCCTCTTGGGCTGTGATCCTCTCTTCTATCCCTCAGGAAATGATACTACAAACCTTCATAATGTGACTCTCCCTAGTTTGAATGGAGAAGTGGTTAATTGCAGTGACATTGAAGGGTTCAACAGTGTAACCTGGCATCCACAGTTTACATCTCAGGGCTGTAGTAACAGGCTTTTAACACATTGAGCCTGTTATGTGCATTAACGAGTCTAGTTCATGTTTTTAAGGGGAAAAATAAGAAACAGGCTTCTTGTTACCAGAGAAAAATGAAAGCACGCTCTTGATCCACACTGTAGTTCAGAGATCTGTTCACCCTGATAAGAATTCCCTCCTTGATTTTTGAGAAACAGTCTTCTGACTCGAGAGTTTGAGTTGCCGTACAAAGAGGAAGCCCAAACTCTTTTGCAAGTTACCTGTGTACAAATGTAGCAGAGGTGGTAAGCACCCTCTGCTTCAGCTCTCAGCCCCCTTTTGTAATTGCCCAGAGATGTTGGGAACCACCGAAATCAAAGGAGACAGCCTGACTTGTTATGGTGAATTGTTGCCTTTAATCCTAATTGCTTGGTGGAAGTTGGATTTGCGTTCTGCCTTTATTCTTGCTTTGTCTAAAACTGACAGATTATTTTATCCTCCAAAATGATAAAAGGGCGAAAGTCTATCTTCTGATGTGGAAACCTTCTGGAATCCTGCATATGTACTTTTTACAGATTAAAAATAATATTGTATATAAAAAAAAATTGAATAAAGAATGTCTTTAAGTGAAAAAGGTGTGTTTTGTGTCCTTTGTCTCCAATAGCAACCTCCTGTAGCATTGGACTGTGAAGCTGGTTCTATTTCATAGGCTTGGTGTTGGTGCAGCTTTTCTTTCTCCTGCAGCCCTACTAGGAACTTTGTCAACTTAAACATGTATCAAGATCCCCTGTTGCAAAATTAAACAGCTGTAACCCTTGCTTGCTTTTAACAGGTCATTGTAGTGCTCAGATTTTTCTTAAGATGTAGCTAAATGTACAGCAGTTTGAGGCTGTTTCTGTGTCCCATTGCCAAAACCACCAATTAAACAAAATGTTGATATTTCTAGCATTTTGTTAAATTTGTGTGAAAGTGGCTAAAAAGTTCAAAGATTCTTAGTGATGAGGGTAAATGGGGCAGGCAGACAAGCAGTGCTACTGAAACTTCATTTTCTTCAGACAGCAGGTTTAAACCCCAGCTTTTCTTGATACTTAATAGCCAGTGAATTGGGCAATTAGGTCTGTCCATCCATTCCTCTCTCCTCTGTGGAAAGGCAGAAGTTTGTAATTGTTTAAATGTTGTCACAGGGTGAGGAAATTGCTTTGAGAGAGCCTACTTCCCCCATGCACCTTTAAATTCACTGGAACTGCTGCTGTAGCTCTCTGGTTTGCAGTACAGCAAGTGAACAACCAGATCTGCTTTCTGATTCGCATCAGAATAATCTTTACTGTCTGACATCACCCATATTGCTCATAGGCAGTACCTTTCTTCAGGGTGAGCCATGACTGCCATCCCACGTGCACTTCCCAGAGTGCTTCTGCTTCAGGATGCAATGACCTCCTTCAGCATTACTTAATCAGAGAAAGTTGCTTCCAAAGTGCCATAATTCAGGACAACACGTGACACCAGGACACACCTGCTGTCCTGGAATGCCATCATCCACCTTGAGATCCAGTTACACATTCAGCTGTTGCTCCCTAGCTTTCCACACAAGCTCTGTGTGTTCATGATGCGCCCGGCTTCCTACCACAGTGCCATTACCAAAGCAGTGTC